ATTAGCTGCCCCTTTGTTGGCGGTTAATTTGCATATCGTGCTGATTAGCCAATGGGAGGCGTAGCAAAGGTATGGTCAATTACCATGTTTGTCTATTATTAGATAGGGTGATATTGTTTGTTCACTTGGCTGAGGTAAGGTTTGCCATGTTTTTCCACTGTGAAGTTACTCTTTCTATCTTTTCCACACTGTATGGGAATAAGTAAATCTCATTTAAGGGGCTGAAGTTATACTTCACCTTCTTGAGGGCAAAATATCTACATAAATTATTTGGAAATTTGTTTATCCTTGCTCATTTAGCTATCTACTTTTTATTATTTATATCTGTTTAGATTCATGGATGTTTATTTTATACTTTGTGGTGTAATCCAACATTACTTTGTTTTGTTGCCTTAATTGTTCCAAAATTGGTCATTTAGAACTCTTAATTAACTCCTGTGCCATATGATTATATTTCCATGATTCTGGGTTTTTCTTTTTTTTTCAACACTATCATTTTTTTCTGGCATGACAGTATGCTCCAAGTTCATACTGTGTGTTGACTTTTCCAGTTCTTCAGCACTTGTCATTTGTTGATTTGTTGATGGTAGCCATTCTGACAGGTGTGTGATGATATCTCATTGTCCTTTAAATTTGCATCTTTTTGATGATTGACGACTTTGAGCATTTTTTCATGTCTCTTGGCCATCTATATGTTCACTTTGGAGAAATTTCTATTTAAGTCCTTTGTTCATTTTTTATTTTTTATTTTTTTTTTTTTAATCCTGATTCATTATAATCACCAGTTCATTCTGTACATCAGATTATTTATTCACTTGGTTCTTAGATTCACTTGTTGATAGATGCATGTTTGTTGTTCACAATTTGTATCTTTACCTTTTTCTTCTTCCTCTTCTTAAAGGATACCTTTCAGCATTTCGTATAATACTGGTTTAGTGGTGATGAACTCCTTTAGCTTTTCCTTATCTGTGAAGCTCTTTATCTGACCTTCAATTCTGAATGATAGCTTTGCTGGATAAAGTATTCTTGGTTGTAGGTTCTTGGTATTCAGCACTTTGAATATTTCTTGCCATTCCCTTCTGGCCTGCAAAGTTTCTGTTGAGAAATCAGCTGACAGTCGTATGGGTATTCCCTTGTAGGTAATTGAGTCTCTTTCTCTTGCTGCTTTTAAGATTCTCTCTTTGTCTTTTGCTCTTGGCATTTTAATTATGATGTGTCTTGGTGTGGTCCTCTTTGGATTCCTTTTGTTTGGGGTTCTCTGCGCTTCTTGGACCTGTAAGTCCATTTCTTTCACCAGGTGGGGGAAGTTTTCTGCCATTATTTCTTCAAATAGGTTTTCAATATCTTGCTGTCTCTCATCTTCTGGCACCCCTATTATTCTGATGTTGGTACGCTTGAAGCTGTCCCAGAGGCTCCTTACACTATCTTCGTATTTTCGGATTCTTTTTTCATTTTGCTTTTCCGGTTGGGTGTTTTTTGCTTCTTCGCATTTCAAATCTTTGGCTTGATTCTTGCGCTCCTCTGGTCTGCTATTGGGTGTAATATTCTTTATTTCAGAGCGTGTATGCTTAATTTCTAGTTTCTTTATCATAGCATCGAGGGTCTCATTAGTTTTCGTGAGGCTCTCCAGAAGTTTATTGCAAGCCCTCAAAATTGCGTTTTTTAGCTCTATATCCTCCATTTCTGTCATGTTTTTTTGTCTCCGCATTTTTTATGCTTTCTTGGTGCACCCCCTAGTGGTCTTTGTGCGCAGTCTTGTTCTAGTTGAGCCTTGATTGTTGTAGTTAATACTAGAGGGATTTGACCACCAGGCCGACTGGCTGTGTGAATCAGCTGTGTCTGCCGCGGAAAACTTCTGTCCTCTGGGGAGGTGCTAATCTAGCCTTTGCCTGAGGCTATCCGGCAAATGGCTCTGCGCAGGGCTTGGGCGGGGCGGGCTCAACAGGGCGGGCGGAGGGAGCCGTTATGGTGCCCTCAGTCCTGTTCCCAGAGGCTCTGCTTCTCAGAACCCCCGGAACCGCTGCAAACCTCGGAGGGAAAGCTGCCTTCCAACTGATGCCAGACACTCCCGCTTCTCCCGTTTGGGTCCGAGTCCCCAGCGATTCGCCCGTATCTGGAGCTCAGAGTCTGAGACTCCCCCCTGACCGAAAACGACAACCGCGCTCTCAGCCACCAGCCCGCTTTGCGCGCGCACCTCCGCACCTGAGTTTTTTCCACACTGCGCCTCCTCTGAGCCTCGGTGTGCTGTTATTTTTCCTTCTAGTTGAAGAGTCTCTCCTCAGCCAGCCTTCCTGTGGTTCTGGGTGATGTCCGTTCCGTCTTTTAGTTGTATTTTTGAAGTGGTTGTTTGCGGCAGCAGTCTGCGGTGTTTACCTATGCCGCCATCTTGGTCTCTCCCCCCTTTGTTCATTTTTTAATTGGATTGTCTTCCTTTTGTTAAGTTGTATGAGTTCCTTATATATTTTGGATATTAACCCCTTATTAGGTGTATCACTGGCAAATATGTTCTCCCATACAGTGGGCTCCCTTTTGGTTTTGTTGATGGCTTCTTTTGCTGTACAGAAGTTTTTTTATTTTGATATAGTCCCATATGTTGATTTTCTCTGTAGTTTCCCTTGACCTAGAAGATATATCCACAAACATATTGTTATGAAAAATGTCTTAGACTTTGCTGCCTATGGTTTCTTCTATTATTTTTATAGTTTCATGACTTACATTAAGTCTGTTATCCATTTTGATTTTATTTTTGTGTATGGTGTAAGTTGGTGGTCTAGTTTCATTTTTTACATGTATCTGTCTAATTTTCCCAGTGCCATTTATTGAAGAAACTGTCTTGACTCCATTGTATGCTCTTGCCTCCTTTGTCAAAAATTTTTTTAAAATATCACTATTTTTAATATTTTTATTGACTTCAGAGAGGAAGGGAAAGGGAAAGAGAGATAGAAACATCAATGATGAGAGAGAATCATTGATCAGTTGCTTCCTGCACACTCCCTACTGGGTCTTGAGCCTGAAACCTGGGCATGTGCCCTCAACTGGAATCAAACCTGGGATCTGTCAGTCTGAAGGCTGACCCTCTATGCACTGAGTCAAACCAGTTAGGGCTCCTTTGTCAAATATTAATTGAGTGTATTGGCTTGGGTCGATTTCTGGGGTCTCTTTTCTGTTTCATTTATCTATATGCCTGTTCTTGTGATAGTACCAGACTATTTTTATTACAGTGGCTTTTTAGTATAACTTGATATCTGGCATTGTGATTCCTCCAACTTCGTTTTTCCTTCTCAAGATGGCTGTGGCTATTTGGGGTCTTTTTGGTTCCATATAAATTTTTGAGAACTTGTTCTAGATCTGTGAAATATGTCATTGGTATTTTTCTACATAATTAAAAATATATGAAATTTATTGGACTTACATTGGTTAACAAAATTATATGTGTTTCAAATGTAGAATTCTATAATACACCATCTGTATATTGTATTGTATGCTAACCACCAAAAGTTGAGTCTCTTATCACCAGTTATTCCCCCTTTCCCTCTGGTCAACACCATACTGTTGTCTGTGTCTGAGGGTTGTTGTTGTTTTTTTGTTTAATCCCTTCAATGTTTTCACCCAGCTGCATAACCCCTCCCTGCTGACAGATGTTAGTCTGCTCTCTGTATCTATGATTCTGTTTCTGTTCTGCTTCGGGAGGTTTCATTGTTGTTGTAGGTTCCACATGTACATGAAACCTTATAGTAATTTTCATTCTTTAATTGGCTTATTTATCTTAGTTTAATACTCTCCAAAACTATCCAGGCTATCACAAAAAGTAAGTTTTTCTTTTTTACAGCCAACTAGTATTCCATTGTATAAATGTATCACTGCATTTTTATCCACCAATCTATCGATGGGCACTTGGGCTGATTACAAATCTTGGTTATTGTAAATAATGCTGCAATGAACATAAGTGTGCGTATATTTTTTCAAATTAATGTTTCAGGTTTCTATGGATATGTTCTCAGAAGTGGAATAACTGGATCATAAGGCAGTTCAATGTTAATTTTTTGAGAAAACTTCATGCTGTTATCCACAGTAGCTGCACCAATCTGCATTCCTACAAACACTGCATAAGGGTTCCCCTTACTCCACATCCTCAACAGCAATTTTAATTTGTGGATTTTTTTTATGATAGCCATTCTGATAGGTGTGAGGTAATAACTCAATATAGTTTTAATTTGCATTTCCCTGATCATTAGTGACGTTCAACGTCTTTTCATCAGTGTGTTGGCCATCTGTATGTCTTTAGAAAAGTGTCTATTCAGGTCTTTTGACCATTTTTTAGAAGGATTGTTTGTATTTTGGTGTCAACTTTTAAAATTTCTTTATAAATTTTGGATATTAACACCTTATCAAATGTATCATTGGACAATGTGTTCTCCCATTCATTAGGTTGTGTTCATTTTGTTGATGGTTTCCTTTGCTATGCAAAAACATTTTAATTCTATGTAGTTCCATTTCTTTAGTTTTTCTTTTGTTTCCCTTGCCTGAGGAGAAATATCAGAAAAAAATATTGCTACAAGAAATGTCCAAGATTTTACTACTTATTTTTTTCTAGGATTTTATGGTTTTGAGTCTTACCTTTAAGTCTTTAAACTATTTAGATTTTATTCCTCTGTATGGTGTAAGATGGTGGTCCAATTTTTTTTTCCATGTGTCTATCCAATTTTCCCAGCAACATTTATTGTTACTCTCCTTTTTCATTTCTAATTTTATTTATTTGGGTTATCTCTATTTTTTTCTCGATGTGTCCAGTTAAAGGTTTGTCAATATTGTTTATATTTACAACTCTTAGTTTTATTGATCTTATGAATTGCTTTTTTAGACTCTATTTTATTTTTTTCTCTGACCTTTATTATTTTTTTTTCTACTCACTTTGGGCTTTGTCTTTTTCTTTTCCTAGTGTCTTTAAGTGTACAGTTTATAGTAAATTAATATTTGACAAAGGATGTAAAAACATATACTGGGTTAAGATAGTGTATTAAAGGAATGGTGCTGGGAAAATTGGACAAATATGTGTAAAAATATGAAAATAGACCACCTTCTTACATCGTACATAAGAATAACTCAAAATGAATTAAAGACTTAAATGTTAGAAGTGAAACCATAAAAATCCTTTAAGAAAATATAGGTAGTAAAATCTCAGGCATTTCTCATAGCAATATTTTTTTCTGATATATTGCCTCAGATAAGGGAAACAAGAGTAAAAAACACAATGGGAATACATCCAACTAAAAAGTTTTTGCACATCAAAGAAACCATCAACAAAATGAGTAGACAACATATTGAATAGAAGAATATATTTGCCAATACATCTGATAAAGGCTGAATATACAAAACTTATAAGAAACTCATAGAATTCAACACCAAAAAACCCCCACATTCTGATTAAAAATGGGCAAAGGACATGAATATACACTTCTTCAAAGAGGATATACACATGGCTAATAAACATATGCAAGGATGCTCAATGAAACTAATTATCAGAGATGCAAATTAAAACCACAATGAAATATCACCTCACACCTGTCAGAATCATCTATAAATTAATTTAAAAAAACAGTGGTGGTGAGGATATGGAAAAAAGAGAATGCTTTTTCACTGTTGGTGGGAATGCAGATTGGTGAAGCCACTATGGAAAGCTGAGTGGAGTTACATAAAAAACAAACAAACAAACAAAAAAAACATGGAACTACCTTATATTGATTTTTCTAGTTTCCTGAGGTAGGCTTTTAATACTATAAGTTTCCCTCTGATGACTGCTTTTTCTGTGTCCCATAGATTTTGGTTTGTTATGTTATCATTTTTATTGTTTCAAGGTACCTTTTTTATTTTTTTCTTTATCTCATTATTAAACCATTCATTGTTTAGAGACATATTATTTAGCCTCCATGTCTGTGTGTTTTCAGGTTTTTATGTTTTTTTCTATGATTTATTTTTTGTTTCATACCATTTTTGGTCAAAGAAATGCTTGATATGATTTCAATCTTCTTAAATTTATTGAGATTTGATTTGTGTCCTAACATGGGGTCTACCTTAGGAAATGTTCCATTGTGCATTTGAGAAGAATGTATATTCTGCTGCTTTGGGGTAAAATGCTCTGAAGATATTTTTTTAATCCATCTGATCTAGTGTGTCATTTAATGTTGATCTTTTCTTGTTGATTTTCTGCCTGGAAGATCTATCCATTGATGTCAATGGGGCATTAAAATCTCCTGCTGTAAATCTCTCCCTTTATGTCAATTCAGGTTTGCTTTTTATATTTTGGTGCTCCTATGTTGTATGCATAAATTTTTACAAGGGTTACATCCTCATTGGATTGATCCCTTTATCATTATGCAGTGTCTTTCTTTGTATCTTACTATAACCTTTGTTTTAAAGTTTATTTTATCTAATTATTGCTACCCCAGCTTTTCTTTAAATTTCCATTTTCATTAAATATATTTTTCCATCCTTTTACTTTTAGTCTTTGTGTATCTTTTGTTCTGAGGCAGGGTTCTTGTAGACAGCATATATATTGGTCATATTTTTAATTCATTTAGCTACCTGATTTCTTTTTATTGGAGCATTTAAGCCATTTAATTTTTTTTACTTTAAATTTCTTTATTGATTACGGTATTACATATGTGTCCTTATCCTCCCATTACCCCCCCACTCATGCCCTCACCCCTCCTGTTGTCCGTGTCCATTGGTTAGGCTTATATGTATGCATACAAGTCCTTTGGTTGATCTCTCCCCCTTACCCCCACCCTCCTCTACCTTCCCTCTGAGGTTTGACATTCTGAAAGATAATTCTCTGTCTCTGGATCTGTTTTAGTTCATCAGTTTATGTTGTTCATTATATTCCATAAATGAGTGAGGTCATGTGATATTTATCTTTCTCTGACTGGGTTATTTCACTTAGCATAATGCTCTCC